TTGAATGGACGAGGTGCAATTGGTGTGCGCCCAGGAGCCCATAACTTCCTGAGCAAGTCACCAAATGCGAGAGCTAATTCTCCCTGTGCACAATGATTTCAATACAGTTAAGTAATGATCTGAAATCAACTACTCAATATTTTAGAAAGAAACAATGCTAGTGATCTACGAGAGAAAATGTCACTGATTACCTGCCAAGGAACACTACCCTAATCAACTTCTAATGTAACTTCTGATGATATAAGATGTCTTATATATTCCAACGTTATTCCACATGTATGCAAGATTAAGCCTATCAAGAATGTTTTGGGACTAAAGCACACCCCCAAACATGCAGTACTGCAAAAGATTTTACATGTAACAGGGAAACACAAGTGAACCACCCAATGATGTCTAAGCATACCTATACACACTTAAACCTACGCACAAACTTAGGTATCCATCAGATTTATGAGTAGCAAAGAACTTCAAGAGGAACTTACCACCATGCCAAGGGGGTTTTGCCAATTTATTTCTTGATGATAATCTTCTTGAAAGTAACTAGCAAACTCAGGTGTATGAACCAGACACTGAATCGCACTATTCATGAAACAAGTATTCCCGAGATTTAGCAGCCCTGTTAAGCCAGCTGTGGATCCCCTTGTTGTGACGCCAGTGCTACTGTATGTGCTATCAAAAGATTGTGAAACTTCTACACTACCAGTTCTGAATGCATTCCTGCTTGAAGAGAACCCTCCTGCAGCAGCCAAGCTTGATTTAGAAGGCTCAATGAGAATAGAAGTAGAGTCTTCATCCACCAATCCGTTCTCTTGAGCAGATTGAATGTGAGCACTTGATAATGTACCATTGATGTCAAGCACCTCCACCAAAATCTGTTTTTAAACGACAGACACAAAATCAATGGGAAAGTTAATGAGTCAGTAAGGATACCGAAAAAGATAAAAGTCAGAGAGCATATAAAACCAAAAGCTTAGGCTAACTAAACAATCGGACTGAAGCATAAACATTTTATATTCAGATGTTTCCCTCATTGTCAAATTTACAAAAGCCAAAAATTAATAACAATATAAGAGCTCCAGCTAACTTAGTATTGGAGAAAGAGAACTACAATGCATTATAAATTCTGTCCTCATAACAATTGACCAAAAAGATATACAACAAACTTGGTATACCCAGAAACAACATCAGAAACTATGACAGAAGTTCAAATAGCAAATAGCTAATAACATTGAAAGCAAAAAAAAAGAAGAAGAAGTGAACTCACATCCTGATCCATTTGTAGGTTAGCATCGTCCAGTGTCTTATCTAAGTCATTCATCAAAGAATACTTTTGGTGGCCGTAGTAATCCCAAATGCGTACCTACATGATAGAAAATGCTCATGTAAGAAAGATAAAGGGAAAGAAAAGAATACCAAAAGTATCATTGAAACGGGCTGTTTAATAACATAGGAATATCAGATCTTTACATGCTCTGAGTTGAGGTCAAAAATTTCACAGGCTCTTCGATGGAGCTCTCTGATAGTTTCCTGCACAACAAAGTTTGACAGTACAATGAAGTAGCAGACTAAATGAGTTCAGATTTTAAAGTAATGGAGCAAGAAAACAAAGAATGAAAAGAGGATTAACCTTTTTGCTAATTCTTATGGAACTATGGTCACTTTTTGGCATCAGAAGTAGCTGAAGACGTAAAGGGTAAACCTCTACAGCCAACTCCGTTTGAGAGAGACCTGAGCTAATGACTCTCCGTGCTAGAGTTGGACCACCCCCGTACCTTATAAAACAGAAGCAATAATCCATATGAACCAAATCATCAGTTAAAGTGAGAAAGCCATGCTATAGTGTAGTAAATAAGAAAACCAAGAGACTGCGTTGTAAGTTTCATATTATGCATTACAAATCAACATGAGAGAGAAAGCAACTAAATAATATCAGGTGCATAAAAGATGAACTTGGTAGAGATCTTTCTTGACCTTTGGCATTATCCATTTGAGGTACATGAGATAAACATGACCCAACATACCAAAGATAACCAAGAAAAACCGAAAGCACTTGATAGAAATAAAACTAAGTCTAGCTCACACAAGATGAAGAGATGTACAATTTCATATCTGTTCCATTCTGGTACCCTAAAAACTCACCATGAACGCAACTGGTTCCACACTTCTTGAGGGAGCAAAACATAGTCACGACCTTCCTGAAGTGTTTCAATAATCTCACTGGTATTACTCGGGTCCTCCAGCGAAGAATCATAGATCAAATCAGAGTTATCAATCCTAGAAGGCTTCTTTAGTGTGCTTGAACCAGGAGAGTCGCAATGCTCTGACAGTGAAGACCCATCATTAGTGTTACATGGTTGGTCTTGATTCACATACTCAATCCAGTCTTGCCACCATCTGGAAGAAAGAGTAACAACAGAGAAAATGTTGGCACTCAGCACAAGTACCATAAGAGAAAAATCAAATTTTATTACAATGGTTGCAATCTAAGACAATACACATAAACATGAGTCAATAAAAGACGGTTCTTTGGAAAACGTTCTGAAATTCTCAAACTAATCTCTCAGGAACTGATAAAGATAAACCCAATCTCTAAACCCTAACCAAATCCGAAACCAAGGCAAGCAAAGACAAAATGACGAAGAAATAGATATAACTCTTGGGAATTTGGTAAACCCATAAACAAGAAAGCTACAAGTGACCATAGAGAGCAAAAATCAAGAGTTAAAAACCTCTGAGTGATGAGATAAAATGTATCGCCTTCTTTGCTGTTAGCCTCAGCAGCAATAGCAATGTCTCTGATGAAAACTCGCTCTTCCTCGGGAGACAGATCCGTGCTGCTACTGCTGCTTCCCATCGATACTTCCGCCATATCTCGAAAATTAGGACAATTTTCTATTCAGCTAAGTCACCCTTTCGCGAATTCTAGCTATGTGGAGAAGAATCTAAGCTGATACGACGCCGAACAACCGTGCTCCGCCGTACGACTCCGGCGCGAGCTAAGCAAGGCGGTGAATATGATAAACCCTAACGGCTTCTTTGGGGAGACAAAAGTAGAGTGAGCCGCTCGCTAACAAAAAGTCGGAACCTTTTTTTTTTTCTCTCGAACAGATCCTTGCTGGCTTCGCTCCTTGATAGTCATTTCGAAAAAGGTCCCAAAACTCCACCATGATTAACAAAAAAAAATAATAATAAGGAAAGAAAAAATAATAATAAGTTGACAAAAAAAAAAAAATAATAATAATAATAATAATAATAATAATAAGTTGACAAAAATATTTTTTTTTTGCTTTTGAACTAATTGAAATGCAGTAGAAAAATAACTTAATGTGATATTTCTTATTCTTTAAAAGTACATATAATACTGACAGATAAACATAAAGTTCACACGTTAAAAAGTTAAAATTTATGTCATTCAAATTTAATTAGGGCTTATATTAATTGATATGCTCAGAGGATCCAAAAATTAAGTATCTATGCATGATAATATTATAATTAAGTAATTATAAAAGAGAAAGAAAAAATAAACCAAGTTTCTCCTTCTATTTATGATTAATAACGAAAATGCCATTGATTAAAAAATTTGCTTTCCTACTTCAATATATCTATGACACTGTTCATTCCGGCGTCGATGATACTGTTCATCACCGGATAATATTTACCAACCACATAACGACATTGCTCATCTATATAAACAATTATTTTATTTACATGTTAAATGATATATTATCGTGATAAGTTCATATAATATGTGTTACATTCATAGTTATCGTGTTAAACGAGTTACCATATCATACAAAATTAATATTTTATATTAATTTAGAATTGTGAATTAATATATATTTTTATAAAAGCTTAATTAATTACATGATAAAAATATTATTAACAAGTTACATAGAATAATAATGATAACAATAATGATAACGCACTACACATACTTGTAACGTGTTAAGATATTAAATACATCAAATAATATTATTATTAATGTGTTAATATTAAATAATATTATATATTGATAATTTAGGATGCCGACGAGATACCTAACAAATGATTATGTATTAGTTTAGATATTGATTTATTTATTTAACATGGTAAAGTAAATTGTATGTAGAAAATTTAACATTTAACACAATACAAAAATTATAAACGTGTTATGTAAAATATTAACAAGATACAAAATATAATAAAAAGATAGTTTTGTGTGAATTACATATTTTTTGTACCATGTTAATACATTACTAAACAAGAAAAACATAAAGATACAAACTTAATAAATGATTACTAAAAGATCGTTTAATAGATTAACCAAATTGTTTACGGTCTAAACAAAGTTTTATGGGCTAACGGGTACGTTATCTCTCTGGGACGAAGTCCGAGACATCCTTCACCATATTTCCTTATCTCCTCTTCTAACTTTGCCAAAAAAAAGTTTAATCATCAAAATTTTCCATTAATGACCACTGACAGCTCGCCGGGTTCATGAACCTCCAAACCCATATGATATGTTGATTTTGTTACTTGAATGACACCACAATTGAACCAAAAATTGAACCATAGACTCCGCCGGAATCCAAAACTGCTGTCCACCTTTGCTTTACCCTTCACGGAATTAAAAACCCACTCTATTTAGATTTTGTTATTTCAAGTTCACTAGGATGAATTCTTGGTCGGAGCAATTTCGTCGGAAATATGCAACGAAGAGAAGAGAGAGATAAATGTGAGAAATTAAAAATTTAAAACCAAAGAGAGAAAGAAGGATAGTAGAGTAATCTCCTTAGTTTTATTACTGTTGAAATAGTATCTATTTTACTCACCTAATTTTTCAATCTTCTGTGCATATCCATTGATATTTTCCATTTAGTTATTGTATTTATTTTAGACTGTTAGTTAATTTTTTTCTATAGAAGGTTGATTTGAAAGGAAAAGAAATCTTAATTTTTTTTTTTTTTAACTTTTTCTTTTCTCAAATCTAAAATCTAAAATTTAAGATATTATTGTATGTGTGGAAAACTTTTTAGTTGGAAAGAAACATTTACTAATAAATTAAATTATTGATGCCTAAATTTTAAATGATGTTTTGAGATTAATAATTAACACTCCGATTATAGATAGGCCTGGTCAATTTACTCAACGTGGAAACTCCATCTCTCTTTCATCTAGAACAATAAAAGTAAGCGAATCTGAGTTCATACTAATCCAATCTCTCTGTTGAGCTCAGGTAAAGAGTTGTTTCTCTATTCACCTGTATCTGATTATTTCTTCTTGGGTTAAAGTTTACTCTTTTATCTCTTTTTTGCTGATTCGTCTTGTTTTCCTTTCCGATCCTTTTGTCTCTGCTTCTTGCTCTAATCGTTGTCTTCTCCATCTCACTACCTTTTCGATTTAGCAGCTGTATAACTTTTATACATGTTCATTTTGATGCAGTTCAAAGTATTAAATTTGTTACAGATGTGTTTCTTGGCGTTAAATTTCAGGTTCTGAGGTAAATAAAGTCTTTTTCTTGAAATTGGTGGATTCAAGAGATTGACGACAAGTTTCAGAATTAGGATGCAAGAGAACAAGGGTCATTACGTGCCACCATCTTATATTCCATTAACACAGTCAGATGCTGATACTGAAGTTGAGACCACTACTCCAAACCTGGAGATTGCTGCTTCTGAAAGCACAAAAGACGATCCGAGACCGTGGTCATCTGGTATATGCGCGTGCTTCGACGATATACAGAGCTGTATGCTACTCTCTGTCCTCCAAACCTTCTTCATTTTACTTCAGGAACCAATTTTGTTAAAGGTGCCTCTTTGAAATGACCTGTGATATATGTTTGTCATGTGTTAGTGTTCAGATATATTCATGAAGATAAGTTTGGTTCTGGTAAATAGTTTTTGCTGAGGTTTTTTTTTGTTTAGAAGCATAATCAAGTGCATTTCTTGAATAGGCTGGGGAAGAAACTTAGATTAAGGTGTGCAGAAAATTGTGTTGCTTGTTTATGTTTTGAGCTTCATTGTATAAATTCTCTTGGATTTGATTATGTTTTCTTGTTTATGGTGAAGATCATTTAGACAACGTTTGAAAGGAACATTAGAACTTACTGCGGTTTGTTTTGGATGCACAGGTTTAGTAGGTTTGTTCTGTCCATGTTATATCTTTGGCAAAAACGCAGAGCTTCTGGGGTCTGGAACATTTGCAGGACCCTGCTTAACCCATTGCATTTCATGGGCTTTGGTCAACACCATTTGCTGCTTTGCAACTAATGGCGCATTGCTCGGTCTACCAGGATGCTTTGTGTCATGTTATGCTTGTGGATACCGCAAATCATTAAGAGCCAAGTACAATTTACAGGTTAGAATTACTCAAGCGACACATATATGTTGATAATACCATATCATCCATTAGCTATGTGTGGTATTTCTGACTGATGTAACATTCTTTGATGCAGGAGGCTCCATGTGGGGATTTTGTAACACACTTCTTCTGTCACTTGTGTGCCATTTGCCAAGAATACAGAGAGATTCGAGAACATAGCAGCGGCTCATATCCTCCCGACATGAAGCTGGCTATCACCAATGCCCCCTTGGCTCAAACCATGGAATCAGCTAACTGATCACTTTTGTCTCATTGAATTTTCTTGTTTATTTTGTAGATGACATTTTTCTTTTCATCGACTTTTGCAATGTATTTGAGAAGTTTGATGAGTAAAGTAACTTTCTAGGTAGTTTATCATAGATATAAAAAGAATTTGTGAATCTGCCACAACCACGAAGTATTGCTCTTTTCGTGAAGATTTATATCGTTTATTTAGTAGTGAATTCCAAAACATATTCTCTAAAATAATGTTCAATAAAATCTTGTGAGGACAGATAAGGTACCTCTCCCCGTATATAGGATTTTTATTTTACATATTACATCCAACAAAATCCAATAAGTTAGATCAGACCCGTCCGGTCATGTATTTTCTCTTGTTGCTGTGTAGTTAAAAAGTCTCACCTCAATACAAGTCTTTCCAACGTAATGTATCACCAGTTCCACGGTCTGGTTTGTGATTTAGCTGCAAGATGTAGCGCCATTGAACCACTGCTACTGCTCAGACCGTTGCAGATACCAAGCCTGATGATGAACGAAGCTGTGCAGCCTTTCTCTAGGCCTTCGCTTTCTATCCACATGTATCCTCCCATTAGCCCGACGAACCTAACCAGAGACACCCATCAACGGAAGCTTACCTTTTAGCTATTTGTGACACCATCTGCTTATAACTTATATATAGTTTTGGGTTGTTACCGTTTGCAGAGAGCTAGCCCCAGTCCTCCACCGGAATGGTTCCTCTGAGTTCCAGTCCGAGGCTGTACAAATTTGGTAAAGAGCAAAGGAATGTCTTGCGTGTGAATTCCACACCCTGTGTCCTTCACCTGCACCAAGATTATAACATTTAGAACACAGTAAGAAGCTTAACCTTCTTGTTTAATAATATGTAGATTGGAACTAACCTGCACGCATAGGTAAAAGTGACTGTCACTGAGAACTGGAAAGAATTCTGGAGATGGTAATTCTTGTAAGGACTCGGGTTTCATGATAGAGGCTATAATGGAGATGTAGCCTTCCTTGGTGAATTTCACAGCGTTGCCCATGATGTTGAGAATAGTTTGCATCAGACGTTTTTCATCACCAATAGCATAAGTTGGTAAGTCTGCAGATAGAATCAGATTCGTTGATAGTTTCTTCACCGATGCGATTGGCTTTATGAGAGAGATGACCTGCAGATTCAAAACGCCCATGTTATATAATGTAAGACATATAATGGACTTCACTGGTTAATCTGGGGGATTTAGTTACCTCTTCAAAGATCGCTTGTAGACTGAATGGTTCATTTTCCAAGAGTAAGCTCCCATCTTCCAATCTTGAAAGATCCAGAACGTCGCTGATGAGTGTAGCCACAAGATTGCTGCTTTTCAGTATTGTCTCAATCATAACTCTCTGTTCTGGAGACAGCTCCGTCTCAAGGAGGAGAGAAGACAGAGAGATGATGGCATGCATCGGTGTCCTCATCTCGTGGTTCATGACAGCTAGGAAATCATTTCGAGCATGTACTGCCATCTCTGCCTCTTGACGAGCCTTGTCTAAAGCAAAATTCTGCTCCATAAGCTGGTCACGAGCATGCATGGATTCCTCCAAAATTGCAGCGTGTGAGAGAGCCACAGCCACCTGAATGAAGCGAGAGTCAGGGGACAAAACAAAAAACTAAAGGCTGGTAATGTAACTTGGCACACAACCAAACATATGCAAGTAAAGAGATTGACCTGATCCGCCACGTTTTCCACAAGCTCTAACTCATGGTCTCTCCATTTTCTTGCACCATCGGTTGGGAGAATCAGGACCATGATAGCGTAACCTTTTCCAGAGAGATCCGACCAGTCATTGCCTTGGAAATTAGAGAGATGTAAAAGAGGTACACGGACAGAAACAACCTCGGGAGGCGAATATCTCCCAACCGGAGGCCCAATCTTAGCCAGAGGACATGTATGAGGTATGTGCATTGCTTGAGCGCTATTGAAGAGTTCGTTAATAATGGGGAGATTTATCGGCACACTGCTTCCAACTTGTATTTTGTGGCTCAAAGTATGAGAAAGTTGCAAATATAAACCACTTTGAGAAGGCATCCACAAGGCGCATTCCTCAAGGCAAAGAGTTTTACCAAGCTCAACAAGAGTAGTTCTTAGAATAGTATGTCTGTCAAGCGTTCTTCTGATTCCATGAGTAAGCATCCTAACATGCCTACCAGTCTCCTCTTGTGTTAAAATAAGACCCATTTCTCTATCTAGCTCGTCAGCTTTCTTCTTGAGAAACAATTCCCGGTTCTTGACACTGAGAAGATCAGGAATAATATGAACCAACATCAATGCGGTTGCACACGACACAACCGCGCAAGAGACTTTGGCAATAGTCATCACAATCGCAACAGCTTTCGAATGCATGAAAAACATCCATAGGTTGATGAAATGTGTAGCTCCACAGAGAATGATAAAGGCTCCAAACTGCATAAGCACCCATTTGTAAGGGAAGAAAGCAGACTTCTGCACGAAATAGATAAGCTCGAGTGGGATTGAGAAGTAGGCAAGAGCAATCAACGCATCGGAGATGTATTGGTACTTCACTAACAGATCATCTTGATTCACATGCGTCTCAAAACAATCGCATGACTCCATTTTTGGAGCTCTGACTTCTGTTGACCTGGTCATCATCACCAAAAACAAACTCACATATCAGTGGAGACTAGATTTGGACTAGAGCTATGGAAAAGATACTAAATCGATCCAGAAAATTGAATCTACAAATCCTCGATAACACAGCACAGATCGTTCAGATGATAAAGCAGTGAAATCAATCCTTATCAATAGATCCGATCAGAAGAGAATAAATAGAAAGTTGGTCTTCCCGAGACGGCACAGTACCTGGAAGAAGAGAAGGATTCATGGCGCTGGAGCTAACGGTGGTGTGAGCCTCATAGCTTTGGGGTAATAATGAAAAAAGGAAAGTTCAAGTTCGTCTGCCTGATTGATCCGAGCGTTATGAAGAACTTGAAGAAATGAGAATCAAAGGCGTAACAGTGATAAAGAAGAAACCAATGAGAGGCAAAAGTTTTTGATGATTTTTTTTTTTTTTTTGCAATGTGGGAAGTTCACGTGTTATAGGCCTACTTGTTACATATAAATAATAATATTATCAGCTCTCTTTTTCTGACAATGAAATAAAGAAATCAGAAAAAGTGAGCTCAGGTTCATGAATCTGAGGGTTCGTGCTAATCCAATTCTCTCTCCGTAGACCTCAGGTAAAGACTTCTTTCTATTTGAACTCACCTGTATCCAGTTTTACTAGGATTTTTAGTTTTCAGATGTCTTTCTTGGTGTTTTATTTCAGGCTCTGAGGTAGTGTCGTTCTTGAACTGGTATCAAGAAGGAAAGGGTCATTACTTGCCACTACCTTACATTCCATCAACACAATCAGATGCTGATGCTGAAGTAAAAGGCCACTCCAAATCTGGAAACTGCTGTTTCTGAAAGCACAATAGAGGATCCGAGACAATGGTCATTTGTGTGGCGTTTCTGACTCATGTAACATTCTTTGATGCAGGATTGTATAACACACTTCTTCTGTCACTTGTGTGCCATTTGCCAAGAATACAGAGTGATTCGAGAACGTAGAAACAGCTCATAAGTCATATCCTCCTAACATGAAGATGGCAATCACCGATGCCCCCTTGGCTGAAACCATGGAATCAACCAACTAACTGATCACTCTGAAGAAGACATTTTTCTTGTCATCGACTTTTGCAATGTATTTGAGAAGTTGAACGAGTAAAGTAAAACTTTCTAAGGTTATAAGTTTATAAAAGGTAAAAAAAGTTACAGCATTCGGATTCTACATCTGGAAACAAAAACCGGACAACGGTATTAGCTACAGATATTACTTCATACCAAAGACCAGGCATTTATTCTTTTACATACAAAGCCTAGAGGAGAGAAGACCTGCTGAAATATGTTTCAATCCTCAAGTGGTCACAAGATGAGGAGCTCCTGATCGAGGTAGGACACAGGAGTATGTTACATACTTTGCACTGTCCAGGAGCACGACTACAAAAACTCGAGACAGTGATTTTGGTCCCCCAATCATCCCATCTATATCTCCATCACCTCCTTCTCTGGGATCAACAAGTACAGATACAACCATGGATGAAGCAGGCTTGATTTCTTTGCTACTGCTGTTTCTTTGGTGCTCTTTGGTGAGGTTAAAATCTGATCCCGGGAGTGGAATGGGAAGACCACGAAGGATTCTTCTGTTCTTTTGCTTGTGTGTGTCTGTGGTGTTCTTACCGTGTTCAGTAGAGACATTGGTTGCTGGAGATGCAGGAATGATGGCTCCAGAGGTTGAGGATACATCAAACTGAAACACTTCAGTGCACATCCCTGAACTAAACATGGGCCCTACAATATAGTCATTTAGCAACAAAAGAAGGTGTTACTACTATATAGTAAACAACAAAGACTTAAACGTTACTACTGTGCCTCCAGCTTCTGCAGAGAAAGGTGAAAAGAAATATACACTATTGAGTAACAATTTTACATGTTCCTTATTAGTGTTTAGTAATCTAATCCATATTATATAATACATCTACTCATGACCAGAGATTTGCTGAAAGTAAGTTAAGCCTCATTAAAATGGTCTTGTGTCAAATATCAAGTTATGATAATGACTAGTATAATGCCTGCCTACATAATCAAATCAAGGGAACAGAAAGTAAGATCAGAAACCCATGATTACCTGCAACACCTTCACGGAACCATTGCTGCATTTCACCGTTGGCTGCTTTTGTTTTGAATTGGTCCTTCAGAGTATCAGTAGAGCCAGAGGATAGAGCTTTCTGTTTTTCAGCCTTAGATCTATAGAGATGCTTAGCCATTTCCTCGGTCTTTCCCACATCAGGTAGAGGTAGTGCAGGGGAATAATCTTTAGAGATCACCAAGTCAGCTTTCCTCTCCTTTGATTCAGAAGCCTTTCGCAAAGCCACAGCTCTCTCACTCGCCAATATAGAATTAATAATCAAATTCCCATCTATCTTCACAAGCTTGTCATTCCTCGGAACAAAGAGTGATGCAACTAGAGGCTCACTACCATTTCCAGGAGGTACAGAGCTCTCTGTTGCAGATATATTTTTCCTAGCTCCTCGATCAGAATCTCTCCCACAATGCATTCCATTACTATTAGAAACCCCAGTACCAGTACCACTACGAGATGTATCCAAAACTCTATCCCTATGCTGACTGTAAATCTGGTCAGTAATATAATTAGACCTATAGTTCCCATAAAAGGCACCACTAATTCCTCCATAATTAACGTTCACAATTGGAGCCAATGCACCAAACAAAAATAGACAAAACAGAAGACCCAGAAAACTAATACTGGCGACCTTCTTAGTCTTAGCTTCACTCTTCTTACTCTCCGACTTCTTAGCCTTGGATGTTCCAAGGGTGTTCTGTGGTTTCAACCTAGGAATGGGAATCAAAGGCACTTGAGATCCTTGTTGCTTCACCATATAAGGCGGACAAGGCATCCATGGATAAGGCATTGGAGCCATAGGTGGATACATTCCCATCGGAGGTGGTGGAATATGCGGCGGGCACATTCCATTGCCCCCCAATTGCTGCCTTAGAGTAGCATTCTCAGCCATGAAATACGAAATCTTACCGTTCAAATCCGTAATAGTAGAATGCATATTCCTAACCTTCTCTTCCAGCTCCTCCACATAATGCTTCTTCCTCTGCCTCGAAAGCTGAGCACTTTCACGGTTTCTCATGAGTCTAGCTTTCTTTTTCTCATCTTCTTCACCGGTAACAGCACTAGCGTCTGCATCCTCTCCCGATCTCCTGTACTTACTGTTCCTAGACTCGTCAGTCAAATCCTCATCGATTTCTTTCTTCCTCTTGGTAATAATAGACGTCGTCGTAGCAGCTTCTTCCACTTTAACCTTCTGGTCGACGACAACGTTTCTTGATTTAGGCGACGATTCATTTGTAGCTTCCGAAACATCAGAACCGCAATTACCCGAACCCTGAGACGACAATGGAGTCGGTAGATCTAAACTACGGTCAGCACCGGAGCAACGATCATCGGAATCCCGGTTAATGCAACCGGAAGTTGTAATACTCTTATCGGCATCTTTGGGAAGAACAGGACAATCACCGGAAATTCCAGAACCTTCAGACTCCGGCGTAAAATCACCAAACTGTTCTTGATTAGACGTATTCACAGGGATGAGAAACGACTCATTCTCAGCGGGAAAGTAAAGATCGTCCATACCGTCGAAAGTGAGCTCGAATTCACCATCGGGAAAACCCAGATCGGACATGAGTTCACCAATCGGAGTATGATCGGAGCCGGAATGGTAGAAATGATCATCAAACGGAGGGATCGAGATGGAATCAAAATCGGACGGAGGAGGGAAGGTAGAATTAGGGTCAGGAGCAGGTGGAGGAGGCTGCTCCTCCGTGATTGGTTCAGCCATTTTGAAACAGAGTTTTAGGGTTAGGGTTTTGAATTTGGGGATGAAGAAGAAGGAGAGATTCGAAAGAAAGAAAGGGGTTATGGAGAAATGAGGTTAAATCACGGGAGGAAGACGACGAGGGGTTTAAAGACAAAGAGGCAGAGGAAGAAAAAGGTGCTTGCTTCCGTCTTCGTCCACGGCGCGTGGGTCTTACGCACCGGAATCGCACTCGCTAACTTACACTAGTGATTCATGAAACTTATGTATCCAAAATATATCTCTTTCCATAAATTAATGATATACAACAAATCAAGAAAAAGAATAGAGAAATTTATTTTGAATAACACTTTTACTAATAAAAGCTAAATTAACTTTTATGATGTGCTTGTAGGATTTCTAATTTTTTTGTTGACTAATTACTTATGTTTGAGTTTAAGATAGTAGTAATTTTAATCTAAGAAAATTATTAGACTGTTATTTTAATATAATTGACTTAATAGTTCATTTAATTTTCGGTAAATAGCAGATTTGAATTATTTTTATTTTTCATAAATTACGATATCAGCTTTAAACTTACTATAATTTTCGGTGATTTGTTATATATCTACTTTTTGTTGTTTTGTAATCATTTTTTTTTTTTTTTTTTTGTAATCATTTTCTTTAGTTCCAAAGAATAGATTGAGTTTTATTTTTTTTCTAGCAAAGAATAGATTGAGTTTAAGATGACAACAAATATATGAGTTCAGCATACATTAATTATCTCTACAATTGTCTTGATACCAAACTATATATATACGTGTTTCGTATAATAGAGGGAGGGAGCTAGAAAAGTAAAACAGAGCATATGCATTAGTTTGACGTTTCTAGTTATACTAGTATCGATTGGGTAGTGAAATACACAGAATAGTCATGGTGCATGTTCTTGACTTTTCGGAGATCGGGATTTAATTTGAAGGTTAACGGGACACCACCAAGTGATTAGTTTTGTCACAAAAGAAAGTAGCCCTGAGGAAGGAAAAAAAAAACAAGACTTGACTCAAAAACAACTCATGATCTAATCAATATCTCTGATATATCATATATACGCCATTTATAAGAAACTGAGTCCAATGACAAAAAAATTGCAACAAATATTTTAAATAATGTTGGTTTTTACAGTAATATTAGAAAATAATATAATAGAGTAAAAAAAAATGAATTCAAAACATTCTTTTTCTATTTTCATTTATTTAGTGATTTATTATAGAACAAAATATGACATTAATAATTTTTAAAGCATACAAATTCTATCTAAAATTAATTTTTTTTGTAGAACTTTAAATAATGTTAGATCATTGCTTTCTCTACTCCTTGATCATGCCTTTTTGTAGAATTTTCTGAAAGTCCAAGCAACCTTGGAGTTTCTGTCCCTTGTATATCACTGCTTTCTCTACTCCTTGACCATGCTTTTTTGTAGAATTTTCAGAAAGTCCAAGCAATCTTGGAGTTTCCGTCCCTTGTACTCTACAAAGCAAAAACAAAACAAAGTGAGATCCTCCAAATATCTAGCTTCTTTGGGAGCTTAAGTATTGCACTGAAATGAGGAGGGTTCTTCTTTGTGCATCGGGCACTTGGCAGCTCTTCTGGTTCAGATCCAGAGCTCTCAACATCTTCGTTCACTAGAAAGCAAATAAGAAGTCTTAAGAACAAGTAACTGAAAATATATATAATTATATAAGTGCTAAAAATATGCTACGATTGTGGAGTTCTATTAAGATCACTAGGTGACCAAAACGCAAAGTACTAGATGTGATGAGGTACTCGTCGTATACGGTGCAAAAGTAGAACGAGGGTTCATTGTTTTTCGTATGTGATCTAGTTGATTTCATTTGTATGCATTCATATGTAGTAGTATAAGCAAACTATACAAAGTTACAAACAATGCGGGGGTTAGATTTTTTATACTCTCCAAAGAAATAAAATTTCAAAGTACATAATTTGCATAATCTTTGTTAGAACTACCGAATAAAGCTTAGCGGATCTTAATAGATTGAGTATAACAAACAAAAGAGAATGCATTTACCATGTACGGTTGATAGCGACAAATAAATCTATACATTTTCTTTTCGGCAAGGAGTCGTTTCTTCTTCTGATTGTAATCACTTCATCTTTTCTAGGACATCCAATTATCATTCACCAAACATTATTTCAAAAATAATTTATTAGAAGATCGATGAGATCGATCCAAACCGAGTAATTAAAATAGTAAAATTCGTAGATTTGAAATATGCTTATCATTAGAGTAAACCATTGATCGTTCTTATATCATAACCAAAGCTCTCAGGGTTATCATTAGAGAAGAGAACTGGTCTTTATGTTCCATGTAGTGATCC